CCAATGTATCTTTTATGGTTAATGACTGTAGTGTACTATCTAAGAAATCTATGCCTATCCAAAGATCGTGAAAATATTCCAAAAGCAATTTACAATATTAACATGTGTCTTTTTCTGGGCTTTCTATGCTGTACTATTGACCTATTTGTCTACGCTTATGCTGACATCATTTTGGCTTAAGAACTAGAAGTTAAAGAAAATCTTGAGGTCAATTAGAAAATATTGTCTTGGCTTTTTTATGTTCTTTGGTTTTACATATGTCTTTTCAAATCAATTTGTCAATCTCTACAAGAAATGCCTTTTGGATTTTGATTAGGTTTGCACTAAAATTATGGATAGATTTGGAAGAACTGACATATTAACAATACTGAGATTCCAGTATGTTAACGTTGTATGTCTCTTCATTTATTTAGTTTTATTTAATTACCTAGCACTGTTTACAGTTTTCAGTATATAAGTCATGCATACCATTCATTAGATGCATTCCTATTTTATTATTTTTGATGCTACTTTAAGTAGTATTGCTTTCTAAATTGCTTGTTAGTGTTATATGGAAATAGAATTGGTTTGAAAAATATTAGCCATGTATTTATGATATTGCTAAATTTGTGTATTAGTTCTAGTAAAGTACTTTTGCATTTTCTTGGGATTTTATAGTAAATAATCATGTCCAGAGCTTCTTTTCCCCAATGTATGTTGTTGTCTGCTTTGTCCACAATCAGTTGGTTATAGGTAGATGATTTTATATCTGGGTTGTGTGTTCTATTCCAGTGGCTTATGTGTCTATTTTTGTACTGATACTATGCTGTTTGGTTAGCCTTGCAGTATACTCTGAAGTCTGGTAATGTGATCCCTACAGATTTCTTCTTTATGTTTAATATCACTTTGGGTATTTGTACTCTTTTCTGGTTCCAAATGAAGCATAGAATTATTTTTTCTAGATCTCTGAAATATATGACTTTGGAACTTGATGGGGATTGCATTGAATCTGTAAATCACTTTGGGTAGTATGGACATAACAATGTTGATTCTACCTATCCATGAGCATAATATGTTTTTCCATTTGTTTGTATCCACTGCAATTTCTTTCCTCAGAATTTCATCATTCTTCTGGTAGAGATCTTTCACCTTGTTGATTAAGCTTATTCCTAGATATTTTATTTTCTTTCTGGCTATTGTGAATGGTATTGAGCCCTTGAATTTGACTCTCAGCTTGACTGTTATTAGTATAATATATAGAAATGCTACCGATTTGTGTACATTGAATTCGTATCCTGGGATTTTGTTGAATTTATTTACCAATTCCAACAGACTCTTGGTGGGATCTTTGGGGTATTCTAGATACAAGATCATATCATCAGTGAAGAGCAATAGTTTGACATCCTCTTTCCCAATTTGGATACCCTTAATATTCTTCTCTGGCCTGATTGCTCTGCCTAAAACTTCCAGCACTACGTTGAATACAAGTGGTGACAGTGGGCATCTTTGTCTTATTCTAGTTCTTAAGGGGATGCTTTCAACTCTTCCCCTTCAAGATGATGTTGGCTATGGATTTGTCATATATAGCTGGTAGAATTCTGAGAGAGTCTTTCTATGCCTAGTTTGTTGAGGGTTATTATCATGAAAGGGTGCTGGATTTTGTCAAATGCTTTTTCTGCATGTATTGAGATGATCATATGGTCTGTGTTTTTGCCTTTTTTCATGTGGTGAATCACATGCACTGATTTACCTATGTTGAACC